TCTCTCTCTCTCTCTCTCTCTCTCTCTCTCTCTGTCTGTATGTATATCTGTGTTTTTGCATTTCAGGTGCAGAAGTGCATGCTGTGGACCTGCATTCTGCCACCGGTGGCATCGTCCACACCAAGCTGTGGGCTGTGGATGGAAAGCACTTGTACGTGGGCAGTGCCAACATGGACTGGCGTTCCCTCACACAGGTATGGAGGGTAGTGCCTTCAGCTAGCGCCTGTTCTGTTGTTGTCGTGTTTCTGTGTACTTTGAGCATGCTGTCAAACGCCTAAGGGCTCTGAAAGAGATGCCGTGTGTGCAGCGTTGCCTTTCTGTGTCTTTGTTTTTATCCATTTGTCTTTTGGACATTCACAGCAGCCCCTCCCCCTCCCGAGCTTGTATGGATTAACTGTTCGTGTGTCGGTTGCACGTTTTTGCATCCCCCTGCAGGTCAAAGAGCTTGCGGCCGTGGTACAGAACTGCAGCTGTCTCGCGGAGGATGCGTCCCGCTTGTTTGGGGTCTACTGGTACATCGGTGCACACGGAGGAGCCCCTTTGCCTCCTTACTGGCCCTCCCAGTACTCTGCCCTCACGAGCGCGCAGCGCCCCCTGCTGGTCAAGCTGAACGGCGTCCCCGCCCATGTGTACCTCTCTGTGAGTGCTGTTCACTGGAATTTATCAGCCGGTTACTGGGTAAAACATATATGCACAGAGCAGTCATTACCATGTCTGTAGGAATTAATTATGAAATTAATTATTATATTCCATGATCATACCCGGGGATTATCAGCTTTTTGGAGAGCTCTTAGGGTCCTAACATTGCCCACTGGATCCCGAAATGTTACTATTTTTGAGACACTGAGTGAATGTTTGGACTGTTCCTCTGTTTAAGTTCATAACTTATCAGAATTTGACAGATGTGCTTGTTTTTGGATTTGCTAGTGAGCGGTTTCTTCTCGATCTGCCCTGCTATAAAGTGTCAGCTTGTCTCTTCATCTCCAGAGTGCCCCCCCACCTCTTGCAGCCTACGGGCGCACGGACGACCTCTCTGCCATCCTGTCAGTCATCGCCGACGCTCAGGAATTCGTCTACATCTCCGTTATGGATTACCTTCCCTTTACAGAATTCACGCAGCCTGCAAGGTCAGTCTGCGAACGGCTGCAGAGATTAATGGCTATTGTGGTATGTGGGAGTGGCAAGAAATTATATATAAACTCCAGTAACTGATTTCAACACAACTGTTATTGACGTCCTCATCGCCAGAAATGTGGTCTTCATATTCATGACTTTGTTCAGCCAAGACGACCATATTTGACTAGGAAAGGGACCCACAAACTAGGAATGAGGTTTATAATATGTCGCACTGTTGTCGGATAAATCCTGCCGTTAAACCTGTAGCGGTTGGTGCTGGGGTTATGACGAAGATATTCTATGTTGCAACAATATCTAAGTGCCATTTAAAGCAGTTCAACGTTCTTCAGTAAAGTATCTTTGCTATATGTTTGTGTTTGTCGCCCTCAGCCACGGTTACCTTTGATGAAACATTTCCTTTCTGGTTTTGACAGCCATTGATGTTGATGATTGTATCTGTGCTCGAGTTCCACACACAGACACATTGTCACCGTCTCCATGCACGCCGTCCCTGCAGATTCTGGCCGGCCATAGACTCGGCCTTGCGAGACGTCGCCTGCAGCAGAAGGGTGCAGGTCAGGCTGCTGGTGAGCTGTTGGTCCCACTCCCACGGCGATATGTTCGTCTTCCTGGAGTCCCTGGCCGTCCTGCACCAGCATCCGCTGGGCTGCCCCATCCAAGTGGTACGGCGTTAGCTTAGCATTTCTATGGGTGCAGCACCTTGACAACTGCCCCCGTGTGTGGGGGGATTTTAGGAAGGTGCAGGAACGTGACCTTGCAGGGAGATGGTCAAAGCTTTGGGGAACGTTTTTGGGTACCTTGGTTTCAAACGGGAGACAATTTAACATGCAGACCTGGGTGTATTGTGGCTTCTTCAGTATAATTATGTCCATTAGTGCCCAAATCTGACACGATACTAATGTATCACTAGAACACTGGAGAAAAAATACAATGCGATTCCCCAATTTCTGAAATGTTTGTAGGCTGCAAATTGGCAGAGTGATTTAACCAGTTGCTTCAGGAACCGCACATAAAGTTAAATTTGACAGTAAAATTGAACGCCCCCTCGATGTCAGGACTTTCAGTTTATTTCCCGATATTTCCTTGCATAAAATCGTATTTGAGGTGGCTTTATGCGCCTAAGGGCACCAGATTATGCTGTTCCCATTCTCCCCTGGACCTAAAAAATGTGTAGCTACGTTCTTTGCCAAATGAGGCAGTGTTCTATATGTAGAGAGTGCAAACTGTAACCAGTGAGCTTAGATTTTTGCACGTTTGTTCGAATGGATTCACCTGCAGCCTGTTGTATTGTTATTTTTTTGAGCAGAAAGTGATCGAGGTCCCTTCCACTCCTGCGCAGTCCCTCATCCCCTTCGCCAGAGTCAACCACGCCAAGTACATGGTGACAGACAGAGTCGCTTACATTGGTATGGGGGCTTTATTTTTATAGTCACTCATTGCATCCAGTACATCAGTGGTATATATGGTTTTACTGCATGTCGTAGGTTGTTTTTCTGTGTTTGCTACTGAAATGTACACATCCAAATTCTTTTGGTTTTTGTAGTTCAGTTAAAAAGGGGCTCCCTTCGAAACACGATGAGATGGTCTGTTTCACTGCTTGATCAATACACCAGATAGACTTTGCTGTTTGTGTGCTTTATTTTTTGGCTTCATTTCCTTGGTTTGAATTGTATTGGGGTTTGTCAAAATTCCCATAGAATGTTGCCGGTAGTTACGTTTGAAGTCTGTCTTTTCATGTTACTTTTGCAATATAAGTAGGTAAACGTTGAAGATAATCCAGGATATTTCCATTAAATCCAATGAAAACCAGAGATTGTCACCTGGAGACTGTATTACAAAGTGAGATTTGTTGGTTAGCTAGATAATCTCACTTTAAATTGACTTTATCCTCATTCACGTACATTTAGCCCACTGACTTAAATCCTTTTTTTCTGGGTTTTCTCCTGCGGTCCATGAACATGCAGTGAAGCTAATTGAGATCTCTGAATGTGTGTGTGTGTGTGTGTGTGTGTGTGTTCGTTCGTGTTCACAATACTGACCAGGATAAGTGGTTGGAATATGGATGGAAAGAGATGCTCAGATGGTCTTTTTTTTTTTTATGGAAAGAAGTAGCACGTTCTTCGCAGTGCATGTGGTCATTTAATTTGGATAATGTGTCCTGATCTTGCACTGGAGTTTTTGGCATAATTGCCTTGACCTTATTTGTGTTTTTCATTCAGCTTCTTCCCCTCTCTCCTCAGGAACCTCCAATTGGTCAGAGAATTACTTCTCGCATACCGCTGGTGTGGGCTTGGTGGTGAATCAGACTGGTTTCCAGGCGGGTCCCAGTCAGCAGACTGTGCCAAGCCAGCTTGAGGAGGTTTTTATGAGAGACTGGACATACAGCTCTTCTCATCCTCTCTCACATGAGCATGTAAAACGCTGCGGTAAACACACATAATTGTAGATGTCTTTGCTCTCTCACAGCTTGTGCTGGCAGTTCTGTACCTAACTGTATATGTTGATAGTTCAGAGAGTGTCTCTGATTTATATATATATATATAATGCCAAAAAACATTTTATTCCATTGCTTGTTTTTACAGAAGCAACTTTGTCTTTATCCATTTATACTGCTGTATATATTTTTCTAGAGTGGATCTGGTTTAAATACCTTGCTCAGGTGTATGTCAACAGGGATTAAAATTGGACTTAAACTTATGAATTGTGTCCATAAGCACCACACTTCCTGCTGCCCAATGTGTATTTTGCATAGTTGCTGTCGAATGAAATAGCATTTTTTTTTTTTGCAGTGCTTGTGCGGAACATTTTATTATTTTATTTTTTTAAAGCTCTTTATGTGCGTCAAACAATCACACATGATGTGCAGGATTACCCTCACTATAAGGTTCTGTGGAAATTAATGTCAGGCTTTGTCATGTTTAAAGATTAAACAACTTTTAAAACATTGTTGCTCTGTCATCTCTTCATAGATTTTTCATGGGTTATATGTAATAAAGGATTTGGTATATTGTGAGTTGTGAGGGTGTAGTTAAGGTTACAGCTAACTTTAAATGTCAACATCCGCTACTTCTCAGCATCTTCATATATGGTTTTATGGAAGTGGGTTCTAAATTTCTCTCTTCACACCACTGTGCCCTTCAAATGCTTTGCAGAAGGCTTGGGACTTATGCGATTATTGATAAGAATAACGCGTTAGATTGCCTGTGTATGCACATGGTAGTTTCATTTCGAGTATTTAGTGTATTTCTAGCGTGCATTTGTTTGATCTGTACACATATGCGACCCCTAGCGTGCATATACTGTATTTATCCTTCATACGCGCCGCCTACAGTTTATAGGTTTATTGCGTGCACACTTGCGCCCCCTAACCTGCACCGGAAGTTAGGCAGTGGCGGAAAACTGAAAAAGGTCCTTGCGGCGTAAACAGCGAAAATTACGGATGCATCTAAACGGCGGGACAAAATAGTAATCAAAAAATAAACATGTTTTATCACGTACGTATTTTTAGATGGGATATTGTTCGGTTTGTGACGATACGCTATTTTTAAGGATTAACCTACTGTTAGCGGTTGCCAGAGTTTCAGAAAATATGGTGAGGTAGGACGTTCAGAGAGTATGGTGAAAGTGGTGTTTATTTCTCCTGATAAATATTCATTTACGTGCTGTGATACAGAATTTCGTGTGCGTGAGAGTCAGGATATTATCCTTGTGGGTCCACGTAATTCTGCCTGATTACAATATCCGTTAGCTGAGGCTACCTGGTTACACCATGCGGTTTGAATAGAGCAGATATTTTTAAATGCTAAGTTTCACAAACTTAAAAATACGTCAGGCAATTTTTGTTTCCTTTCGCATAAATTTTGGATTTTTTCGATATAAATTCCCCAGTGAAATATACGCTGGGAATGAGATTAGTAGCATGCTAACTGTGTTAGCGGAATAATGAATGAATTATAAATGGGATTGTTCCTGTTACTTCCGGTTTGGAATCGCGACGAAAACAAATGTAAATTCATATATTTTATTCGGTAATTAAATTAATACTTTTATCCAACATTCATTTTATACATTTTATCTGCAACAGAAGTTACTTTTAAAGTGAGTGAATTTCCTCAGTTTTAGGCTGGTTAACTTAATCTACAAGGGCCATGCTGCAGGACAGTGATAACTTCAATAAGGGTACCTTCGTTGAAAAACTTGATTTGTGGTTTGGTGTCATGGGCATTGTGGCCCTTTTCTCTCTGCCGGATTCCTAGATCTCCTTGGAACATGAGATCCTGTTGCACCCTCGCTACTTTGGCCCTAATCTGCTGAACACAGTGAAGCAGAAGCTGTTTACTGAGGTGGAGGGAACCTGTACGGGAAAGTGAGTGATTTCCTGGCCCCGATGGCGATCAGAGGTGGATTTGCCTGCTACAGGCACATTTGACAGTGCAGCATTTTGACCAGGCGTTTCTGCCTCAGGTATGGCTTCGTCATTGCTGTGACGACCATCGACAACATCGGGGCCGGAGTCATCCAGCCAGGAAGGGGCTTCGTTCTGTACCCGGTCAAGTACAAGGCTATTGTGTTCCGGCCCTTTAAAGGTGAAGTGGTGGACGCAGTGGTAACTCAGGTCAACAAGGTACATCTACAGTACCACTCATTCAGCTGTTTAACATTGTTTTCCTGTATACTGAGAAGCTGCATTAGCAAGTAGCAGTCAGTCACAGTGGAGTTTTAAAGTTATTTTGATTTATGGCAGGAATCTGTAAATATCATGTCACAGAAGGGGTCCTGCTGTCTTAAAGGGTGAAATTATTAAGATAGAAGCATCACTTAGACAATCAAAAATGACTGCATTCATTTTGATATCTCATTTCTCGTAAGGGGTAAATGTCCACTCCCTCATCCATATCTTCCTTAGGTTGGGCTGTTCACTGAAATCGGCCCTATGTCCTGTTTCATCTCCCGCCATGTAAGTTTTCATACCTTTATAAGTTTTATTATTATCATTTTAGTGTGAAACTAAATTTGGGATTGTTATGTAAGCTAGGTTCAAAATATGGCAATATGCACTAATACAAGTGTGGAGTCATTTTTATTGTAATGAAAGTGTGATTTGTATCCCATGATGATGCAGTATTACTATTTTTTGATACATCTCCTTACAGTCTATCCCTTCAGAGATGGAGTTTGACCCTAATTCCAATCCCCCTTGCTATAAAACTGTGGATGAGGTGAGTCTGTTCTTGCAAAGACCTGTATAGACTCATAGTCTTACATTAAGGTGGTTTTAGCTAAACAACAGCATAACATTGATCTGGTATGTAAAACTAACGGAAACACTTTCAGAAGAAGAGACAGAAATATGATCAAGATTTCAGGCCTTTTCAGAACAGAAATCTGTTTCTGTTTGTAACCTGTGGTTAGTAGTTTGTATTTACGGTTCCCAGCCTAGTGAAGGACATTACAGTTGTCATTTTTGTCCCCCAGGACATTGTCATCCAGCAGGATGATGAAATTCGCTTGAAGATTGTGGGAACCAGAGTGGACAAGAATGATATTGTAAGTATCTGTGTGTGTCAGGTCTTCCCTTTGAGATGGAATTTTGATTATAATCTACCTTTCGGCTGAAGGGTGCCAAGACCAAACTGCTGCTGACGATAAATAATTTCATGGTGTTTGTAGCTGTTCTGTTCAGATTTCTATCATTTTTATTTCCGCATATAACTACCAATAACCCAAATGAAGCTAGATAGTTGATTAATAGCATATTTCTGACCGAGTGAGATTAGTGAGCTGGGTCAAATGAGGGTTTAGTGCAGGCATACAATTTAAGTTACGGTTGCTTTCCATTGTATCGGTGCTTCACCTTGAGTCTGTCTGCACAGACAATATCAGGATCGTCTGTTTAATTCCTTTCTGTACTGCATTGCTAATTTTTCCCCCCTCCTTCCTCCACACATCACAGTTTGCCATTGGCTCTCTCATGGATGATTACCTAGGTAAGGTGCCTGAATGTTTTCTGGGGGTGGCCATGTTCTGGGTGGTCAGTCAGGTGACCGCATTGCAGTTAATGCGTCCATCGAATTGTTGATATATGCTGGTATCAAGAATCCCACAGCCTGGTTGACTTCAACAGTTGTACAAAGTATAGTTAAAATGAGGTGAATAAGTGTCCAGTGCACACAATAAAATAGATTGTGTATGAAAATTATGATTATTTACAAACATAAAAAATAATAAGGTAGCAAATTTTTTATAAGACTGATATATAAGCTGATATTGTTAAAATAGGTTTATAAGTGGGAGATTGTCAAAAAACATCATCATTGTAATAGATGCATTCTCTGTCTACAGGACTGGTCAGCTGATTTTCCTCATGAAGTCACTTGGAGATTCATATATTTTTCTAAATATGTTTTCTAAGGTTGTGTGCTCAGAATTAGTGCATGAATTCTTTTGGAAGGGTTTGTATATGTTTAATGTTTTTTCCCGCCACAGTATCAATGATCTTTAGCAAGAATTTTGTCTTGTTTTTTTTTTTTTTTTTTTTTTTTTTAAAAGAATGCACTCAATCTGAGACATTTAACATTTGCTCCACAATTTATTTATTTATATCCTTTATTTAACCAGGAGAAGCCCATTGAGATTAAAAATCTCTTTTGCAAGGGAGACCTGGCCAAGATAAGCAGCTAAGTTACATCACAACAGTATGCCAGTACATACATACAAAAACAAAATAAAAACAAATAAATAAA